GAAAATTTTATTTTAATCTTTTCTTTAAATAAATCTTTTAACAAACTTTAAAAATTATTTTTAAAATATTTTATTTTTAACTTTTAAGAAACTTTCTTTTTAAATTACATAAATAAAAACTTTTTTTATCCTTAAAACTTTATTTAATTAAAAAGAAGACACATTTAAAAAAAATTTAGAGCTTGTTTAGTTTGCCTTCAAGTTTTATTAATTTTCTATAAATTTATTAATTAAAGTTTTATTTTTGAATGTTTATTTAAAGTTTGAAGGTTTTCTGTTTAAAACACGAGGAAAAGTTTCTTCTTCAAATTTTTTAAAGAAAGGTCAGTCACGTTCATTTTCCTTCAATTTGTTTGTTTCATTGTTTTTATCATTTCCTTCCCTCTCTTTCCCTCTTTTGTTCTTTATTTTTAATAATCTTTATAGTAAAGTAGCCAAACAAATAAAGGATTGTGTGACTAATAAATGGGAAAAATATTTGTGTGGATGGATATACATATATTTTTAATTAAAAAGCATTCGGTGCGTCACGCGATATTAAAAAATAATTATTTTGTGAGTGCAAACAAACTTTTTTTTATTTTTTTATTTACGCAATTTTACTATTTTCTATTTATTATTAAAAAAAATTTTTTATATAATATTCTCACACACACTCGATTTTTAAATTAAAAAATTTTTATTAAACAAAAAAATATAATACCGTATACTTTTAAACTCGCCCCCCTTTTTTCCGTTTCCCTGACCATTCTGAGCTTTTTTCTTGATCTATAATTATATATCATCGAAAGAGCTCTTCGAGCTGGGTCGATGATGCAATGATTGTTTAAATTTGATCATTCTGAACAAAATATGAAAGCTGAATCCATACAAGAAAAACATCTTGTCCCGTTTCAAGGGATAAAAAACTAATCAAAACTTTGTTAACTTAAGTCAGATTTCGTTGATTTTAGTGTAATTCGATTATCGAAGATGTTTAATGAGAAAAAATAGAAAATAATAGAAAGGAAAAAATGGGGCGACTTCCCAAAGTATTACCGAGACTCCCTAAATATAAATACTAAATAAGAGGCCCCCAGGGACTGACTTGATGTAACTGATACTCTCATTTGCTTCAACTCTATTTTTTCAAAAAAAGTTTCCGTTGCTAATACATATACATATTACCCAGTGTCAAGTTCCGTCAAGAATGTCTCGGGTAATGAAAAAATCGGGTCGGGGTTTTCAAAAATTTTCTAAGTCTCTGGTTTTGTTTCGAATTTCAGTTAACCACTGACATCTCTACAACCCCCCCCCCCCCCCATTTATTTCCAACCAAAATTTCCCTCATTTTTATTTAAATATACAGCTAATTGAAGCTTAACACTAAAAGAGAGAGAAAGAACGTATTTAAAAGAAAAAAAGCTTTTTGCGTGTACCACGCGACCAAAAACGGTCGATATTATTTTACTAGCCTTAGGGGGAAGAAAAGGAAAGAAAAAACTGGAAAAAACTTTTATTTTATTCTTTCATTCTATTGACACTTTTTTTTATTGTCTGAAGGAAACGGGAGAGTTTTCTTTTATTAATTTTAAATATACATTTAAATCTGATTAAGACGTTACCTTCCGGTATCGAATTAAGCCGACGCTTTAATGAAAGAGGCGTGAATAGAGGGTAGTCTCACTAAAACGCTTCCCTTGTAAAATTTCTCGAGAGCTAAAAGTTAAACTGGACTGGAGCTAAATAATCCGGGAAGTTCCGAATTATTTATAAAATATAAGTTCCGTTATTTTCCGTAATTTCCAACAAAACACTAATCCCTTTGTATTTGTGCAGACGTAATATTCAACTATTCTAAATAAAGACAATAGGGGAATTTTGAATGGATTTTGAAGGATTTCAATAAAATCTAAAATTAATTTCTCACAGAATTTTTATATCATTTTGGTCTTTTACCCGTTATTTACATACTCCATACATTAATTTGGGCTGATTGTATGTATTTAAATCGAGTTTCTCCGTTATTTGGAACATAGCCCCCATGTTAGACATAGCCCCCTCCATTCCTCCCCCTCCCTTCTCCTTTCCTCCTCCCCCAACCAAATTTAAAATTTGTATTTAAAATTGAAGTCTGTGACTATATTAAGCTTTCTTTTATTTTTTCTCTATTTTATTTTAGCTTTTTTCTTGTCATATGTCTTTTTTTAATAAATCCATAGTCTCTCTCTCGTAGTAACTAAATATTTAATTTAAAAAATATTTTTTTCATTTAAGTAGTAGCTGGTTGTTTGTGGGTGGATTAAGTAAAGAAGAAAATAATAAAAATTGACTGAAAAAAAAGATATTTTTATTTTTTTAAAAAAGTGTGTGTGTCTATAATTAAATGATTATGTGACGTTTTTTGTTTAGATTTTTTTGGAAATTATTAAAATAAACTTCTGAGGTTTTTTTGATCATAAATTAAAAATTTAATAATACAAACTGACCTCAATTTTATGTAATTTTTTAAGAAGATTGAAAGGAGGAGGGAGGGAGTGGGAGGGAGGGAGAGGGGTGGGCTGTCTCCTAAGTAATACCCGCTTTCAATTTAAAATAATATATGTATACTAGTGATGTTCGGGTATCCCGACTTCCGAGGATATTTCCCGATCCGACCTCCGTCTCCCGATTTCTTAGTTTTTTCATCTAACATCACTAACATCGCTAATACACTTCTTTATTTTAGAGAAATATTGTTTAGGAAATCATAAAAATTTTAGATTTTATTCATTTCATAAGCACGAGTAACTAAGCGGTACTTGTTTTGGCCTCGTTTACAAATCAGTAATTGGTGTGGAACAAAGTATCGAGTCCAACCAAATTTCTAAATTTCCCCTACTTTTCTATTTACTTTTTATTATTTGAAATCGAAGTTTAATTAAAAAATTAAAATCGTCTATACTACAATTTAATCTGGCCATATATTTTATTTTAAATTTTATGTATTTAAATCATTCTTATCTAATAACCCTCCCTCCCCGTTATTGTCATAAGAAAAAATAATAATTTTAATAATATTTTATACCTTTTATTATTGCAAAAATTCTTTTTTTTATTGCCATTTTTTATTATCTTTTTTTATTTGTCTTTGGGTCCATAAAACCTTTCCTTGATATAAAATATATTTATTTAATTGTTAATTTTTGTGTTATCTTTATTTTAATAAAGAAGATTTTTGTTTAAAAAAATAGACAAAAATTATTAAAAATATAATTTTATTGAGGGATAATTTGCCGTCAGACAATTCTCTTTTAATTTTATTTTATTAAAGCCCCCTCCCCCTTCCCCTCTGTTGAAGAATTTTTGGGATTTTCTACGCTGCCCGTCTCTGGTATCCCTCTAACCGTGTCAAAATTTCCCTAAAATTCTACCATATTTTTGTTTTTATTTGTAAGTTTAATTGAAAGTTAGGGGGAAATAACCCCCCAGTCCGCAATTTAGTCCTCAATAAATCTGAATAATTTATTAATTAAAGCTACCAGCGGGCAGCCGTTCCTCTTCACCAATAAGACAAATTACTTAAACACCCTAGAAATTAAAACGAAAATCTCAAACACTTGCTTTAGTTTAGAAAACAATACCTCTATAATCATAACCAAAACATACCTGATTATTAAAAAGTAGGATACTTCACTCATTTCTTTTAAATTCTCGTTAAAAAATACAAATATTTTGACTAAAATTTAAATAAAAACTTCCTTGTTTTTAATTATTTAACAAACTAATTAAATTCTTAAAATATTATTTTTTGTCTTTACTTTTTGTAGTCTATTTTAGTCCCTTTTTGACAAATTAAATTTGAGTTTAAAAAGAAAAAGTTAGTCTTTTCCATCAATTTTTTTCTTTCATGATTCATCTCCAATTAATTTTAAAATCCAAAATTTTTTTATTTAATTTTATAGCCCCTTTGTTTGCTTTATCCAATGATGAAATCGATTAAATTTACAAAATTAGATTTATTGGGGGGGGGGGGGGGGGTATCTTCCATATTAGTGGGCTTATATTTTAATTATTTAAATTTTATTTAGCCAAAACTTTTCAAATCTTCAATCAATTCGAACAGTTTTTAGTATAAGTCAAACCTATTTATAAGAAAATTCAGGGTACAGACCAAGTAGGCGCGCGGCCATAACGGCGCAAAGCCATAACTTGCTTTAAGATTTCCGAATTTTATCAAATTTAGTATTAAACAATTCCTCTCATCGAGCTAAAGTGATTGACACCAAAATTGATAAGGGCCTGAAATTTTCCAGCAAGTTATGGCTGCACTATTTAGGCGTGCCCCGGAAATTCGGTCTAATCCTTTTCTTCTTTAAAAAGTTACGATTGATAACACTTTCTCGTCTCTAACTTTTTGTAGAATAATTTAAATAAATAGGCCCTTTTAAGTGAAATAATCTACGTATTCAAGGCTCTCGATTTATATAAAAAATTGTTTAGATTGGTTAAAGATAAAAAAAGTTATGATCGAAAAGGGATTAGAGGCATTCATTCCTCCATTCATTTAAAGATTTAAATACGCGGGGGATTTTAATTATTAATTAACGGAACAGGATCATTGAGTCCCGCCGATTGAGTCCCGCCGTTTGAGTCCCGCCGGTTGAGTCCCGCCGGTTGAGTCCCGAGCCGTTTGAGTCCCAGCCGATTGAGTCCCGCCGGTTGAGTCCCCACCCTAATGGGGACGTTTGAGTCCCCGTGTTTATTTTTAAGATTTTCTATTGTTTTTTTAATATTTTTGTTTTTTTTTGGAGTTTTCAACTAATTTTGTTAATCCGTATCCGGGTAAATTCTGCCGGAGTCCGGAAATTAGGAAAGGGTTTTTACGTTAGTAATTTTATAGCGACCCTACCCTCCGTAGCGCCACAAAAAGTTTTTCCAGCGAAGATTCTGTTGGTCAAAACTCTGTTCAGAATCATTCAATCAAGCTGATTTTGGTGTCGTTCAACTCAGCTTGTCGAGCCCATTCGAATGAGCTGTCATTTGTATATTAAAAATTTTTCACCCAAAATTGAATTTTATCCCCTTTTTTGCTTTTAGGGTCTGTAACTCGTTTCCTGAATTCAGGATTGACTTAATATCACACCAGAATCTCTTGATTATCCCCTTAATTATTCTAAATGCAACTATATCCCTTTTAATCCCTCCAAATCCAAAAAATAAACACGGGGACTCAAACGTCCCCATTAGGGTGGGGACTCAACCGGCGGGACTCAATCGGCTGGGACTCAAACGGCTCGGGACTCAACCGGCGGGACTCAACCGGCGGGACTCAATGATCCCCCGCCCTTAATTAATTAATTTTCTGGCGTTTTGTTTAAATTGTTAAAATTAGAGAAAACGAAAAGAGAACAAAAATGTCTTTAATTTGATGATTTGTAAAAAAAATATTTTTTCGAGAATTTTTTCTTTTTTTTTAAATATTTTTTTTTCAGATTAAAATTAGTTTTACTTTTCTTTTCAAATAAAAAAATGGAAGTATCAGGATTTCCGCATCAAGTTGGCGGCCATTTTGTAAGTCTCTTAAATTTAATTTTTTAATTTTTGAGCTTGCCAAGCTCTCCAAAAAGCAAAAAAAAATATTTTGAAGGCAACGCCTGTTTGTGGGGAGGCGCTTTTAATTATTTACCTAAACACAAAATGAACGGTTAAGTTTGGAATTTTTGTTTTTTAATTTTTTATTTAATTTAAATATATTTGTAGGGTATTCTTTCAATTTCTGGGCATGTTTGTAAACTACTTAATCAGAGAGAATATGAATTTTATCTTCAATTGGATCCGAGGTTTAAGCCTTTCACTGCTAAATTTTGTGGTTTGCTATTTTTATTTATATATTTTTTGTAAATTTTCGGTTCTTTTACATTGGAATTTTGTTGGAGTAGTTCATGTCCGGTTAATTTTTCCCTGTAGCGGGCAAAAAGAGGAGAGAATAGAAAAGAGAAAAAGACCCGCCACAAGGAAAAATTAATTAACCGGCCATGAACTACCCTTCCTTTTTCTCTCAATTTAACCATACCTTAAATTTTTTTGAGTAAATTTATATTTTAATTCTGTTTCTTACATTTAAAAGCTCCAGTGTCTAAAAGTAGTTTTGGCCAAAATCTTTATTTAATGCTTATTATTATTTTTGTAAATTTTATTTCACTCAGATATTATTTTTATAATTTTATTAAACCTTCCAATTAACAAGTAATCTTTTTATTTTTTAACAAATATTTTCCCTTTTACTTTTTTAGGACGTATTAAAGTTCAATGTAACAACAACAATAATTCTTTAATTGCCAAAACAGCTTCTGAAGAAGAACATGCTTTAGTAAGTATGTCAACAGAAACTTTAGTTGATTGTCATCCACAATTAATTCAAATTCCACCAAATACTTTAACTACAACAATTATTTCTTCTTCAACAAAAATTTGTGGGACAGAAAATTCTTTAGAGGAATTCTCTTCTACAAAATTTTCCTCTTCTTTTTGTTCTTCTTCAACAAATTCCTCTTCTTATATGTCATTCCGTCTTAAAAGTGGAAAAGTTGAAACAGAAAAGTCTATTGGGAATCAATGGGCTGGACAGTGTCAGAGCAAGGTTTTTAATTATAAATATGGGGGGAAGTTTGGCTATTAACAGAATTTTAAGAAATTTCATTTTCAGGTTGTCCAACGATTGCTTAAAGGCACCGATAAATATTTTATCGTTTTGGAAGATTTGGTGGCGCAATACTCAAAGCCTTGTGTTATAGACCTTAAAATGGGTTTTTAATGAATTTTTAAACAATTTTTATTTAATTTATTTAAAGGAACTAGACAACATGGTGATGATGCTTCTGCACAAAAAAAGTTAACACAAACACAAAAATGGTTATTATTTTTTAAATTTTATAAATAAATAATTCATAGTAGTAGCACTTTCATTGAATGACTTTTTAGTCATTTAAATAATTATTTTCCTCAAGCCCCGTTTTAAAATTAGTTAAGGTGTGCTGAATCTAGGCCCGCCTGTGTTTTATTTTGATTACCAATATCTCTTAAATTTTTTGTTTTATTTAAAAATTAATTTTTTATTTTCTAAAGCCGCCAATCTACAAGCTCCAAATTTGGTGTACGTTTAGTTGGAATGCAAATATATGATCGTCAATCTAATCAATTCACGTATTTTTTTAATTTTAAGAATTAATTTTAATTTAATTTTTTAAAGTTTTGTAAATAAATATGAGGGACGTCGAATGGATCATTCCCAATTTTGTGATGCCCTTTTAAAATTCTTTAGAGTAGCTGGAAAGAGAAGAACGAGGAAAATTATTGAGGTTTCTTTTATTTTTTTTAAACTAAAAAACATGTTGGGGACAGATAACAACCCTTCTCGGCAATGGCTTGTCAAGGGGGTATCTCCCGAAACCGACCAGATGTCCTTGCTACTCGGTGTCCTTAAATTTTATTTATCCTTATTTTTTTATACTCTGAGAGTCCTTCCTTAGGCCTTTTTTGATTGTATTTTAATTTGAAATCTTTATTTTCATTAAAGGAACTACTCAAATTACGTAAAGTATTGTCTAGAGCTATGGGGTTCCGATTTTTCTCTAGTTCACTTCTAATTGCCTTTGATGGTGAAAAAATAAGTGTTGGAAGTAATTTGGATCAAAGAGGAGGTGGAGGGATAATAGTGAAAATGATTGGTAAGTTTTTAACCTTATAAATGAAAATAATTTTAAAGATAGGATTAGAAATTATATTTTTTAGGGAAGGAGTGTTATTTTCTTACACTTAGAAGCTTGGAGTTTATCATCTTCCCATATAGATTTTGAATTTCTCTATATTTTTTATTGCTCTTCCTATCTTTCTCAATTTTTTGTGTTTCCATTTCTTAAAAGTCTTCATTTTTTGATAATTAATGACAGAGACGAGATCTCGAAAAAAATCCTATTTAGATTGATATTTTTCCAGAATATATATCGATGTCGATTCTCAAACTAAACTCTCCAAAGCTGACTAATTTATATATTTTTAATTTTCAGATTTTGCACATTCCACTTTTAACGGTTTTCTCGGTGATAAATTATATACAGGTGCAGATGATGGTTATATACTTGGAATAGATTCTTTATTAAATATTCTTGGAATGTTTTTACAAACAAGTTTTCGGCCTCCACCAATAGCTAATAATAGAGAAATTGTTGTTAATAATAATTGTGAATTACAACAACAAAAAAGACCTTCACTTAAAAGAAAATTATTATTAGAAAATTTAGAAAGTTTGGGGGAAACAAGCAATAATTGTTGTGATGTTTGGATTGAAACAACAGCAACAACTGAAAATTTGGCACCTTTGTCTGATAATGATAATAGTAATTGGGTAAATTAATTATAAGTATTTTTTGAAAAAATAAATTGTTTAACTTGACTAGCTTCTTAATTTATGCTTATTTAAATAACTCTATTTTCTAATTGTATGAAACATTTTCCCAAATACACCTGCTTTTAAAAATAAAAAAATTATTGCTTTAAGTGAGGGGCTGAAACAATTAATTATCCTCCCTCAGAGATCTTACCGAAAGTTCAGAGAGTGAGCCCAGGGTAATTATTCAAAAATATAGATGATACTCCATAATTTAAAATTACGATTTTTGACTGCCCACTACCTCTTTAAGATACCTCGATCTTCCCATAAAGGAAGGTCTCTAAAAGTAAAAACAAAAAATAAGGATAAATACAATTTAAGGACATCGAAAAGGGTTGTTATCCATCCCCGCCATGTTCTTTAGTTTTTAAGAAAATAAAAAACCTCAATAATAATTCTTTCGGTACCATAATGGGTATAATATTGTTTTAAATTTAAGAAAAATATTTTTCTTTAAGTCCTATGAAATGGAAGATGATGAATCAAGTATAAATTCTAGCACAATGGGATTTACATCAGATTCAGGTGCAGAAATGGGTGAACCAGATGAAGAAGAGGAAGAAACAAATTCTTCTTCTTTAACAAATTTACAACAATTTAATAATTCTGTTGTGGATGTTGACAAAATTGAAATAAATATTAATTTAAATATTTCACAAAGACTTGAAGGGTTTGTTGTTAATTCTTCTACAACAACAACAAAAATACAAAGAAATGAATGAATTTGGGGTTTGGAAAAAAATAAATTGTGACATAAATTGTATATGTGTATATTTTATGTAAAAATATATTAGAGGATTGGAGGAAAATTTAGAAATTGAAAAATTGCCTTATGTTTTTGAAAATTCGGATAGTTCGAGACAAGAATCAGCCGAAGCTTTCAAACCAAATTTTGAAAATATTTTTTACACTTCCAATCCTCATCTTTGTGTGTGTTGTGATGAATTTAATTTTGATTAAAATAAATTTTAAAAATTAATATTTTCTTTTTAAGTATGAAAGAATGATGGCTAATCTAATATAATTTAATTTTATAAAAACAAAGTGAATTAAGATTAAAACAAAGTGGATCTAGTGGATTAAAAGGGAAAAAATATTTAAAAAGGGATTAAGATGGTTAATGAGATATCGGGGATTAAGGAGACACCTAATTGAGATATTTTGAAGCGTAATTTTTGAATTTAAAAATACATTTTTAAATCTGATAGAAGTTTTGCAAAATTTTAGATTTTCTGAAAAAAATCTAAAATATGAAGTTATTTACCTTTCAATTTACTCGAAATTAGGAGAAACAAAGTTCATTGAAATAAAGAACACATTTTATACTTCAAAATTATTCAAAAAACTTTAAAATTATTCAATTTATTCAAAAAACCATTAAAATTTCAAAAACAAACAATTTAGAACCAAGAAGTTAAATTTTAAAGAAGTTTTCACATAAAAATTAAGGCCAATTCTAATATTTGGATTAAAATGTCAAATTTTGTTACATATTTTGGAGTTAAACTTTTTTCGCATCTTTCCTGGATACCTCAGCAATAATGATTACTCAATTTTTAACCCAAATGATGACTTATAATTGAGATATTTTATTTTTTAGAGCATATTAATGGATGCCTTTCGCGCGGCGTAGTGACAGAAGACCCAAGGACAGAAGTTAAAACTCAAAAATTTTAAATAATTTAAAGTCCAAAAGAGAAAGTCATTTAAAATATTGCATCTTTTTCGACAGTAGAAAGACTTGAGGAAATATTTATTGCTATATTAAATTTTTGGAATTCATCAGCCATTAAAGCAGATTTCTGTGTGCGAGTATGCCAAACAAAAACTTTAGTACAATGCATAGCTAAAGGTTCAAGATCTTCTCTTTTAATGTCCAAAGATTGCAAAAAATGCGATTCCTGCAAAGATGAAAAGTAAAAAAAAATAAAAAAATAAAAAATACCATAAAACCACTCGGAGATTTATAACTAAATAAACTTGTTGAGTGTTCATGAATTAAAGAAATATTAATAGCAAAGCCAGCCATATCCATAGGGAAAGGACGTTCTGGCTTCCAACGAGAATTAAAACCATTAACTGTTTTTATTATTTTTTTACTTTTCATCTTTGCAGGAATCGCATTTTTTGCAATCTTTGGACATTAAAAGAGAAGATCTTGAACCTTTAGCTATGCATTGTACTAAAGTTTTTGTTTGGCATACTCGCACACAGAAATCTGCTTTAATGGCTGATGAATTCCAAAAATTTAATATGGCAATAAATATTTCCTCAAGCCTGCGGCGCTAAAAATTGAATTTTTTTGCCTACGGTCTTATAAATTTCTCAGAATTTTTACCCGCGGCGCTGAAGAAATAAAAATATACATATGTACAAAAAATTTGCGTTAGGCTGACTTGAGAGGATTCTAATCCTTACAATTAGTAAAAAAGTAAACACCATATAGCAACGGTTTTAATGTTATGTAGAATTTCATGGATAAACTTAAATGTGAAACTTCTTTAAAATTTACCAGAAAAAAACAATCAAATAACTTAAAGTATGTTAGCCATATAAATATTTTTTTAATTTTCTAAAACAACCATTAATGTTTCCTTTTTAAATTTAACGTTGCAACTCAAAAATAGCCATATTTCCAAACAGATTTGAATTTTTTGAAACAACTTTAGCCGCCAATTCAGCTTCAGAAGCATCCAAAAATTTAAATATTGCTGTTGTCTATTAATTAAAAAATTATTTTTAAATTTTTTATTAAAAGATTAACCTCATCCAATTGTTTATATTCTATAATATCTCCAAAATTTTGCAAATCCTCAAGAATTCTTTCAATACTGAAACCAAGCTTGATCTAAAAAATAATAGAGGTATTTAATTTTTATTAAATTTTATATTTTAAATTTAATGAGAAGAAAAAAATTAACTTGGAATTGAAAATCAGAAATTGATCAAAAATAAAATCAAAAATTCAAAGAGAATGAAATCAGAATTCACCCAAAACTAATTGTAAATATAAAAAAAGCCAAACCTTTCGAATAAGCATCGTATTTCTCCCTTCATCATCCTCAGAAGCAAGCGAAGGCGGTTTAGTTCGATATTTATTAAAATGAGAAGCCGCTGCAGATGCTGGACGGGTTTCAGCTTCGTTATAAAGATTATCATTTTTATCTGATGATTGAGATAAACGACGAACTGTTGCCAAACTTGTTGTAGAACAAACACTTAAAGTTGAAGTATTCGATAAATTTTTAAAGTCTTCTTCATCTGTTAATTCTCCCTCTTCTTTTTCTTCTTTATTTTGGTTGGTTTTCTCTTTATTTTTGAATTTTTCCCCGTCTTTCTTGACTCCATTAATTTTATTGTCGTTACCATTCATCTAAAAAATTTTTTAAATAAATTTTTAGGTTACATAAAAAAGGGAGGAAGAATGGGATCAATCGAGTAATACATAGAATCTTATCCATTTTGAAAAATTTTGGTTCATAAATTTAAATAAATTTTATTTACTAAATAAGGGTTAGCCAAAAAGTTTTAAAAATTTTCCCGTTAAAAATGTTGTAAAATATTAAAAATAAAACCTCAACATTTCCATTTCTTTCCATATTAATATTTTTATTATCAGTAGATTGACAAACATTTTGAGTGTTAGAATCTTCAAAAATGTCGTCGTTTGAATCTGCAAATGTGTATTTGTAATTTAAATTTAAATAAAATTAATTTCTAATTTTTACAGCAAGAAAAAACAGGGAAAAGATTAAATTAGTTTGGTGTAGGCTTTTCACTCTCAATCATTTCTTTTTTGAGCACTGCCAAGTCTTCCCAAATTTTTTTATAAAGTCCTACTTTCTAGTATTGGTTTTTTAATAGGGATTTGCGGTAAACAATTAATTTGTCTATTAAAAATTTTCTGAGACCTAAAAGAACCCTGCCACCCAGAGCATATATTTACAAAGTTTTATAAAATAAAACAACTTTCAAACCTTTCATTAAACTTGAAGGAGAAGACAGTGAAGAGACAGAACGACCATTATTATTTAAATTTTCGTTTCCAAATTTGTCTTGATTTTTGAAATTTTGTATTTGTTCATTACGAGGAGAGACAACACTATTTTCCCATTCAGAAGCATATGGCCTTGGAATTCTTCCCTTTTTACCAGTTCCACGACGAGAACCAAAACCACCTTCAGCAGCATTACCAAATTGACGAGCAGTGTTATCTGAAATTTTTTAAAAAATTTTAGAAAAAAATTTTTAGAATAAATATTCAAAAAAACCTTTAATTTTATCGTCCCCATTAATTCCATTATTGCCGATATCATTTCCTTTGTTGTATTGAAGTCTTGAATTATTGCTTCCATTTTGCCTAGCACCAAAGGATGAAGAACGATCACGAGAATTCCAACCACTAGGGAAATTTTAATTGTTTAATTCGCGGAAACATTTTTTGATATTAAAAAACTATTTTTTTGAATATTTTATTAAACTATGTCATCTCCATTTAAAAAATTTGTCGGAAGATGAATGTCCAATAAAATTTAACTTTTTAAAATTTACCCATTTTTATCTTCATCTCTACCAAACGAATTGTTGTTAATCCTGTTGTTGTTATTTGTATTATTTTCTGTTGATGACTTCCCACCAAATGACCCAGTTCCTACATGACCTAAAAAATAAATACCATTATTTAAAAAATACAAAAAGCTTTGAGGTTAACAAAATTTTTTAGTCTTTTTGTACACCAAAAAATTAAAAATTCGTCCTATTCCCAAACTAATTTAAATTTAAAAACCTCTTCCACCAAATTGCCGAAGATGTTCACCAACTCTATTGTCATTTTCCTTTTCTACCCTAACTCTAGAAAATATATTGGGAGAATTTCTTTGAGTTTTTTGATCATATATATGTTTATATATTCCATTATTATTTGAAGGAAAACGAGAAGAAGAAAATGAAGTTGAAGGATTCTAGGAAAAAATTAAATTTAAAGTCATTAAATATAAAGATTTGATAAAACACCTAGCTACGAGTCTGCTAGTTACCCAGCGTCAAATTCCCCAATTTTAATTTATTAATTTATATTATTAAATTTACCCTGCTTTTCCTGTCAAAACTTGGCGGGATTCCGCGACAAGAAAGCAAATCAACACCTGACCATTCTTTGACGTAATCAAAAAATTTTTCTTTGCCCATCTAAAATAATTAAATATTTACACAAAAAATAACATTTAAAAAACCTTTTGAAGATAAATAAATTCAATTGGCGGATCAAAATTATTTAAAACTTCTTTACGTTCAAAAGCCTCAATAAAATCATTCATTTCTTTTTGGTCAGCAAATTCCAAAATAATTTGGCCAATTCTTCTGTCTTTCCAAGCTTCAAAAGTTTCAATAAAACGAACCTAAAAAATAAAAAAAATAGAAAAAAATTAAATTTGAAAAGAAAACATACAAAGCCGTAACGACGAAAGACATCCCTTAAAATAAAAAAAAAATTGTTAAAAATTTAAAAAATAAAAATACTTTCTAATATTTTGCATTGGCAAATGATTTGGAAAATTCCATAAATAAACCAAGTATTCAGAATTAACATCAAGAATTGGACGTTTAGTACCGTTTGGAAGAAAGCAAGACATTTTGGTTGAAGTATTTTTGAATAAATAAAGAAATAAATGTAGTAGAGAAAGACTAAAAAAAGGAAAGAAATAAACGTTTAAAAACAAACTGG